CGACGACCACCCCAGGATCCTTGCAGCATCTCTGCCCTCAATCTGGAAGGTTCATCGCCGGCGCCGAACGGGTTAACGCGGCTCTGAAAGGGAAAAACAAGGCCGAGAAAACAAGGTGCCCATTTCCTATTCCGCCGACACAAAAGGCTTTTTGTTATCAGTGAAAGGGGAATGTTTTAAGGGCAGCAATTTAATTTTTAACTGGCACACAAATAACCTCGTCCTACTCGTTATCTGGCGGGGGTCTCGCTGCCTTCCAGCCAATGGAACGGACGCCTGCGAGTTCTGGTGGCGGTGGAGGAATTAATGCCCCCCTCCTTTCATATCCGCCCCCCCACCTTTCCCAATCTCAGGTGGCGGGGAGGAGGGGTGGTCCGCCGGGCCCGTCTCAACCGTATTATTACTGGTGATGCTAAAATGGATCCGCTGTCACCGTAAGTCAAACGGCACAATCGCAGAATGCATCTGCAATCCATAAAAACGCCGCCCTGCGCCCCGCGTCTCCCCGCTAATGTGGCTGCTGCCCTGGCAATGTCATTAAAGCCTGCGGCCGGGGCAGCCGAGGGAGAGGACGATGCGCCCGGGGGGGGACAATGCGCGCCGAGAGAAAGAGCTGCCTGTTTGTGAAAGGGTTTATTACAGTGAAGACGATCGTTACCACCTTTAAAGAGGACACAGATCAAATCCCCCCCTCCCCCCTTCTCCTTCCAGATTAAACATCAAATTGCCGGTTCCAGAGATATGGCCGGGACCCTGACAGCCCCCCGGGGGGCCCGGGGCAAGGGTGATGGAGGGACGCGCATGCAGAATGTGTCTCTTTTATCCTTCGCTGCCCGGGAAGACAAATACAAGAGCCTCCATCTTGTCCACATACGCGTTCTATATTTGTCAGAACGGATGACCGTCAACGCCTAATGCTTCTGTACAATACGGGAGAGCGCCGCGCGTGCCGTACAGGTGACTCCGCCTCTAGGGGGGGCGGAAACCCGAAACCGATAAACAATTGTCTTTTTTTTTTTTTAATAAGCAAAAAATCTTTTTTTCCTCCTGGGTTGCATCTCGGTGCTGCTCGTCTCCTGCGGCCTCTTTGCAGCCACTTCCTGTCCACATGCACCCCAGTGATGGCTGCGCTGCGTTTCCTTCTTTGTTTATATATAAAGACGTTTGTTTCGGGGTCTTTGTGTTTTTTATCCCGTTTTTTGTATATTTGGTAATTTGTCACTTTCCACTTTCTATTTAACTTTCTCTTAAGCAGTAAGTGACCCCGGTGGCGTCACATGCGTGGATGCGAGCGGGTCTGGCAGCGGCGAGCGTGAGGTGGGGAGGAGGTGCGGCGCACAGTGTGTGGAGCTGTGAACAGGGCCAACTGATCGGAAGCCGATTAATCGATTATTGAAAAAGTTGACAACTTTTTCAATAATCGATTATAATCGATTATGTCGATTAGTTGTTGCAGCCCTAGTCAGGAGAGAGGAGGGGACCCGGCGGCATACCTCATCCCGCCGGGTGAACGTCCCCTCCTCTCTCTGCCGGCGTCCATCACCAAGATGGCAGCTGGCAGGCATCAATCAGATGGTTGCGCATGCGCGATGACGTCATTGCGCATGCGTGAGGTGACACCCGGCCTCGGGACGCCCCAGATAAAAGGGGGCGGAGCAGAGATCCATTGGCCCATTTCACTCGCCAGACCCCACCATGGTTGCACCTCCCCCCCATTAGCTCCAATGCAGTTTGCCAAAATGGGGAATTTTCACCACCTGGCCGGGGGGCAGTACATAGCGTCCTGAAAACATCACAGCGCCCTGCCACTGTACCCCTCTCAAGAGGCCTCGGCTCTGATGCAAGCAGTGGGCGGGATCTTGGGGGGAGTTATGCAAATATCAAAATGTCTTGATGGGTGAGTGTCAGCCTGGAGGAGTGGGCGTTTCTAGGCAGGCTGTATTTGCATAGGTAACGCCCACATGTGATGCTGAGCCTCCGTGATTGACAGAACTGCAATCCAATGAATGAAAGGGGCGGGGTCAGGCTGGGGGGGGAAAGGGCTGGACAATGCTGGGCATCCTCCAGCCAGGAAATGAGACGGGCTCTATCTGACTTGCTGCAGCTTCTGATGCACGTTGTGAGAAGCTCTGATGGGTTATTGAGTGGGCCAGATCATGGACCCCAGGCCCGGCTCCCCAATGGGGCCCCTCTGAGAGCTCCACACTGCAGCTCTGATCTCAGTGTGCCTCAAACCCTGCCCCCCTCCTCCCCCCCCCACTGACGCAACCACTTGACCATCCCCAGAGAACAGACATTCCGCTCACGGGGGGGGGAAACGTTAGATCTGTCCGGCTTTAGCCCTGCGGCCATTGTGGGAGAGGATGCGTCACAGAGCTTTTCTCAATACCCGGCGAGCGGTGATTGCGGCCGTATGTAAACGCATTCTATAAACATGTTTGTAAGGGGGGAGGGGGGGAACATTTGGGATTATTTTTGCTCATAAAGGGTGACGAGAAATAAAAGAAGAGGCCGCCGATGGCTGCAAATAATTTCATGTTAACCCTCCCGGGCCCTAAAAATTTCACGGGGGCCCTAGACTCAGCGCCTATAGGGAAACGCAGCCCTGGGGCAATGTGTGGTTACCCCTAACAGCCAATCAGAAATCAGCGCCGGGCCTCACTTTCCCCAGCATGGCAGCGCCTTGTTATCCCGGCCGGCACACATGCATCCGCTGCAGTTCTGAGCTGCCGTTTCCACGTTGCACACGGCGCCTGTGCGCGCCGCTCGCTCGCTCCTCTCCGTCTTCCATTATCACATTCTGCAGGAGAGTCTCAATCCTCCGGAGAGCGGCTCCCGATAATTATCTTAATTGACTTTAATATTTCCCTTTGTAGTGTTTTTTATTTATTTTTCTAATTATCTGCCATTTTC